CCGCTGGTAAGCGTTACAGGAGCATAAAGTCACGAACCTCCTCCACATTCAGAGACACTTTCTTCCCTGCAAACTGTCAGATTATTCAATCCATGCTGAAAAGAGAAGAAAGAAGACACAATGTTTCGGCCGTTGAGCCTTCTTCAGGTGCCGAAACGTTGCGTTTTCTCTCTTCTCTTTTCAGCATGGAATAAACCTATTACTTGTTCCTTTGCAGCCTACGCATGCTGACGCAGCTCCCCACCTGAACTACTTCAGATTATTCAATTCTACCTCTACCACTGACTCATACTGACGTTTTTTTTCCACATTTCTTGTGCTGACTTGTATTTTAAATTGTATGTGATTTCACTTCACTGCTGTTCTGTGTTTATATTTTGGTGTTTCCTCAATGTCTTTGTATTGGAGCATACATGCAAACAAGCATTTCATTGCACTCGTGCATAAGACAAGCGAACTCAGCTGAACTGGGCCACTTGTTCCACACTTGGTTTCTTTCAAGAAACAGCTGGATGGGATTGTAGTGCTAATAGCTTCTACCAACCCAATGGGTTAGACGTAACATTTCTTAGGATGGCCTGCAAGCTCACACGTTCACTGGCTTTCCCACTCTAGTCGCATACTGCTAACAGACATTTCTTTTAGCCAATGAAAATGAGAGTACCTGGCGCTCTAACGACAACCTTTCTCTCGACCCAGAAGGAGGCGGGCCTGTAAGTCGTGATTCGCCTGTGGATTGGCTCAATTTGTCAAATGGGCGGTGTCGGAGGAGCATCGCGCCGAGTAAGAACACCTGTCATTGGTCAAGATGTGGGAGAAGGCGGGGCTGGAGGACCGGGAGCTCTCGGAAGCTATCCCAGCATGCCGAGCGCGCCGCGGCGGTACTAAGTCGCGCGGCGTGTTGTTGCAGAGTTGTAATTCGCTGGGGCAAGTGTGTAAAAACTAAATCAAATCTACCGAAAGGACAGCGGAGATCTCCGGCACCCGATTCCGTTGTTGGCTGGAGGGTTTGAATCATGTCTTTCGTTTGTGCTAGTAAGTCCTGGCCGCCGGGAAAGCTCGGAAAAAAAGAGTTTCATTGTGAAGTAAAGACGCGTTGTAAATGTCGGCACGCAGTCGAGTTTTCCAGGGCTTGCGGCGATACACATCGTGAATTTGCCGATAGCAGCAGCAGTAGCAGTAGTAGTGTGGGTTTCGTGTGTTGTGTAGAAAAAGCCTGTGTTTCTGGGAATGTTTTGGGTGCGCGAGTTGAGTTGAGGTGAGGTGGGAGTGCGGGTCGGGGGAGGTGACGGAAGTTCGTTTCTCTCTCGTGTTGCAGTCTCTGCGCCTCATCGCTGCTTATTGAGACGGGTTTTTCTGCCTAAAAGTAACATCGGCGGCGGCAGGATTGTGCCACTGCACGTGTGAGCCCTCAGTCCTGTGTGAGGCTCCCCCCACTCGAGAAGGGAGCTGTGCAGGGGTCCTCTGGCCTTGCAGTTCTGATGGTAACAGTACC